TATCCCTAAGCAACAGTCACTATTTTCCTTGGTGGCCTCTCTTCTGAAGTATTGCTGACTAACCTGAGGCAAATTCAGTCATTCTGCCTGAGGCCTTGTCATTTTGTCATGGGAATTGTTCTTCGTGAATTCTGCAGACAACCCAACCTACTCTTAGATAAAACCTGGTGATTTAACACATTTGTATTTTTTTTTAATCACTTTATGTCAAAGAAAGTATTAATACCTGTGTTCTTGAGCACATAAGCTTATGATATTTCTTGAATATTCCTACTCAAGAAAAAATGTTCTACTTGTAGCAACTCTGAAGTCATGAATGTTACGAGAAACTGAGAAAGATGGTTACTCGCTGCTTCTTACAATAGCTGAGGAGGAACCCACTGAAATTCACAGATTTTGTTACTGCAAGACACTTTGAAAGCAAAAGGAATGGATGGGTCCAAAAAGGATGAGGTTGACTAAGTTCAGCAACGTTAGACATTTTAGTCCCAGTGCACATTTTAAGTAGCCCAGTGTGAGAGATGACAATAGATACTGTATTTTTGATCTTCACCTGCCCCATTTCTAGCCTTAAGCATTTGCTGCTGCTCACTGTTGAGAGACAGGATAAAAGCCAGGTATGTTCTGTTCCACTCTGGCTGTTCGTGTATTCTAAGTACAAGGCTGATGAGCACTATTGCAAATTTAATAAAATTGACCTTTTTCACCCACATGTTGTTATAGACATCAGGTTCCTTGTGCTGTCCTTCCCTTGTCCTTAAGGGTCCCCAGCCTACGATTTGTCTGATTGTTCTTTCATTTTACCTCTTCTGTTCAGAGCATGCGCCTGAAGTTGATAGCGAACAACACAACGGTGGAGCGGAGGTTCAGCTCATGGATTGGTGGTTCCATTTTGGCGTCTTTGGTGAGTAAACCTGTCTCTGCGTTGCTGTACTAAGGAGCACTGTCACCCAAAACTAATTCCACTTAAGTGTGCATTGCAGAGTTTGTGCTGCTGTACCACAGTCTTGTCTCTCCTTGTGCCAGGGTGAAGGGAATCTGTTTTAAAAACAAGACAGCATGAGCGTTTCCAATCAAAACGTAACTCGTACATTCTCCTATTTTAATGGCAAGGTGCAGGCTCGAAATACGGTATCCAGAAGTGACGTGTATATGGTACACCATAAAAGTAGCAAACCTATTTCTGCATCATGTTCCTGAGCTTAATTCTACAAGTTACTGAGCACTGAAATGGTTTGTGGGGATTAATTTAGCAGTATGGGAAATGGAGACTGAAATCAGCTTTCAGTACTGCAACTTCCTGTCTTTAGTTTAGTTGCTAGCAATATAAAACTCAAAGGAAAAGACAGGTAAGCAGGTCAAGTCCTCTTACCTCATTTAATGTAAAGACTTGCTTGTTTTCCCTCCTAGGAAAAGCTAATCACGTTTCACTTAACCTTCATTTGTTTTCTGATTTTTTTTTTTTTTTTTTTATTGTATGTTTTGTCTTTTTGGTTTTTTTTGTAGGGTACTTTTCAACAGATGTGGATTTCTAAACAAGAATATGAAGAAGGAGGGAAACAGTGTGTAGAAAGAAAATGTCCTTAAACCTCTTACTGTGAAAACTGCTGCCTGCTCAATGCTCCTCTGTTTCATAGCTTTAGCATACTCAGGAACGGGATGGACTCTTTTTGTAGAAAAGTTTATATTGGATTTTTGCATAATTCAAGTTCCATTTTAACAAACCTTAGAAATTTTGAGAGACCTAATTGGTACTATCATAGAAAAAGGATGTTTACGTCCCTTGTAAAGCAATAATTCATGTAACAAGCATTTTATAATTTTGTATAAATGTCTATTTTCTCTAGTATCTTTTCTTGGGAACAGCTTTACAGGTTAGCTTATAGATAGAAGTATAACCTTGCAAACACCCATGCAAATTTATTAAAAATCTGTTGTCTACTTTCATATATTAGTCTTCCTTGCTGGTACTTTGGCCTTAAATTGCTCTTATTTCTTTCTTAAAAAATAAAATTTGGTCTTTTATATTTGAGAAACTTTGTGAGTACTTGCAGAGAAAGTTCCTCTTCTGTTTTAAAAATGGAAAGTTTGTATTTAGAGATCTTCTATAGGTGACTGAGTTCAGTCTGAACTTTTACTCCTTAATAAAAGTGTTACATTCCATGTAGTGAATGTTATATTAAGCACTGGTTTGCTAATTTCCTATTATGGAGCAATTTCAGTTCAGTAAACAATCAGTGCTTTCCACCTGATATCTAAGAATGTATATAATGCCTTTGTCATGTAGGTGAGAAGCAAAACTTGTTCTAGCCAGGGAAGTTAAGGCCAAAAATTGTGTCTCCAAGACGAGAACAGTCATAGAAGGCCTCAGGATGTGGCTTGACCTTTTACAGGGAGCTGTAACACAAAGGGGCGGTCACTGCTTGTCTGCTGCTGGTTTAGCTCCCTCAGCTGACTCACAGCAGGGTCTGGAAGTGCCTGCGCTTTGCAGGGGGAGTGTGCACTCAGGGTCACTGGAAGTAGGATGACTTTTTTTTTCAGCAGGAACTGGCTGTCAAGATGCAGCTCTATGTTGCTGTTAAGCTTACTTTAATTTACAACTGTGTGATGTTCTGTGTTGAGACACAATTAAGTTTTGCTCCTTATCTTAAAAGCTGTGGAAAACCAAATAACAGTTAACTGACTCAAAAACGAAATTAAAATGTAAACAGTACTGCTACATTTTTTTGTATCCTAAAAGACCTTGTGGGTAAATAGTGATGAGGCCTCCAGTTGGAAACACTTTCGCATTACCTCCAAACAATAAAGTAATTTATCAAAACAAACAGCCTGCTTTTGTCTTACCATGATAACCATTAGTTTGCTCTGAAGACCAAGTTGCTTGCTGCAGATTGTCAAAGCTATTGACAAGCCATATTTCCCTCACAAAACGAGGCAATCTTAAGTCAGCTACAAGGTGATGTAAGTCACTGCCTGCCTATTGTTGTCATACTGGAAGAACTTAAGTCTGTCCAGTTTGCATTCACGTAGAATGTGGAATGTCAACTGAACTTGTATCATTAGCACACCACAATGAGTAACGCTTGATAAAATTACTGTGGCATCAGGGAAGTACTAAGATTGACTTGACAGCTTGTAGCTAGAAACGAAGCTATAAAGTAGTTTTTTTGCTTCTGTCAGTCGATGATGCATTTTAAGCTTTCCTTCTGTGTCATGTGCTTATGTTTCATTATGTCTAATCTTTTATCTTAAAATAATTACAGTACAGTGTTAATATCTGTGAATGTTCTAGCACCATTTAGAGAGCAAAACACTTTCTCACCACTGTGAAGAGTTTGTCTAAGAAGTGGGATTTTGTGTGATGCAGAAGAGTAACTGAAGGTCAGGATGACAGACATGTCTATCTCCTGTGGTTTTTGTTCCCTTGGAGTTTCCAGTGTTTTATCAGATGATACTGCATAGCACATGTGCTTACTGAAAGCTAGTGTTTGTGACTTTATTCGGAACTGCTACATAAACTCATTTGAAGGTTAAAAGCTTTCATGAAGTAGGTGTTTACCATAAACTGAGAGCAGTACCTTTCACTTCAATTTCACAGTATTACCAGTCTTCCTTCAAATGTTTTGCTTGCTGCAAAAAAGCACTGCACAAGCATTTGAATTTGTCATAGGTATTAGAAATCTGGGTGTAAAGACAGCACTGTTAAAAGTTCACATGCTAAATATTTCATACTTTCTAACAAGGCAGACTTAAAGCAGGGAAAAGGTTCCTTGTAGCAGACTGAAGAGCATATTTTCCCATGCTTTTATGCAGAAAGCATGTGTAACTTGGGTGACATACCAGTAACTCAGATCATCAGGGAACAAAACTAGTATGTAAGTTTCAGAAGCTCTCATGTTTCTCTGTTTAATGCTTATTCGTTAAACTAAACCAGGGAAACATTATCCTTAGACTTTATACTTTCACCTGGCAGTCAGGTGCTGCTTTTCACTGTTAACGATGTACATCTCACTTTTATAATAGCTGCTTAACGTGTCATTTTTCAAGTGTTTCTAGAAACAACTGCTAGGATTAATTTGAGTTATGCACCAAAGCTGCTTTTTAATTCCAGATCACAAGTTTAATTTTGATCAAATGTGGGATTTAAAAAAAAAAAAAAAAAAAAAATGGAGACTCTCAGGAAAGCTCAGTCGAGTTGTATGCTGGTTTCAGAATTTGTTTCATGTTCCAGTCACAAAGATACTCAACCAATTGCTTGCAGTGCTCTTCCAGCACATTACTGGCTCTGGGATTTTACAGCAAGGTGAGGGAACTTCCTTTCCAAGACCTTCTGCCTTGTCCTCTCTAGGTTTTGTCTTCTTGCTCTTCTACGTAAAGCATTTTCAAGTCTGAGCCTGAAATAAAGAAGACAGTGTGGTTAATTTCTAGATAATTTGTAATATCCTTAATAAACTCAGTGCCCTAATAGAGGCTCCCAGTGATTAACACTTTTAGTATTCATTTGTTTTTGATAAGCAAAAACACTTGCAAAGCAAATTTTTTTCTTCTGCTTTTAGATTCTACAGAAATTCAACCTCTGGGAGGATCCTAGGTAGTCTGCATGTAAAGTTATTTTTACAATGCAACCAAGTCTCTTATAACTAAGATGGGAACAGCAAAAAGAAACAGAGCGAGCTGTAACTTTAAAAAGCTTTATTCTTCAGTCCACTAGCAGTAAAAACAACAAAACAATAAGATTATTACTACTTTTTCCTTCCAAAGTGGAATAAGGAGGACTGAGGAACAGATCAGAAAATAATGTAAAAAAAAAAATAAATCTTTTGACCTGATGAAGCGATTCACATGAGGTAAGTAATAGAATTTCTTCTTTTTGTGTTTTTTGTTCAAGTACCATGGTATTGGCCATTCCTTGTAAGTGTACCTGTTAAAGACAGATGAAAATGATTATAGAACATATACTTTTTGTCTTCATTCTTGGATTCTACCAGTTACGCTTGGCTGCAGTAGGGTGATGAAGCGGTCTGAGCGGTAGATTGCAAAATTTGTATGTGGGTATTTCTTTCAGCTCTGTCGCTGTCTTGGTTTGTAACTACATCTCAAACATCACTTGGCATCTTCCTGTAGAAAGCAGTCTTGCTTTAAAAACTGTAGATGTTTGAAGAGAGGGCCCAATATAGATATGATTCTTTGCATTTATATTTTAAAATTACTCCTTCATAAGAAAAGCTTTCAAAAGCTGATGTGAACAAACCGCATCAGGAGAGGGTTTTTTTCTACTACAATTTTCTTTTAAATGCCAGTGTTGGAGTGTCATGTCAAGTGCCGATCTGCCTGAACATAAGTCTTTCCCTCTAAATACAGACTGTTATTTCTGTTCGGGGTTTCTCTTGCATATGGGCTGCACAGATGGCTTGTGCAGACTCACCCACAGACTCCAGCGCATCCAGATTGTGTCAGACCTACTGCTATGTGTATTGCAGAGTTTCTGCATGTGCTTAGGAGATCATTTCCTGTTTGCCCCTGCTTTAACTGAGGACTGGGCTTCCAAACATATGGACAAACCCTTCTTTGTGGTCAGTGCTTCCAAGCAGAAAGAGATACGCAAAAGCCTCGTCTCTAGAGATGTAAGTCTAGTGGTTAGTGCATTTAGTACCCTGCTGATTTATATTTAATGGGTAAACAAAAGGATAATGACTGAAAATTCACCATTATTTATTTATTATGACCTGTTATCTACACTTCTACTGCAGAGCTGAATACTGTTATTAGTGCTTCAGATGCCACTATGATGTGCGTAAAAATACTGGTTAAGGAAAAAGCAGGTCCTGCCAGAGCCTTCAGTGTCATCACCTGAAAATACAGATTATTGAAAGTATCTGGACAGTAAATAATTCTAAAGGTAGAAGCTTCTAACTAAGTTAAATAGGTGCCAAGACTAGTAGGGAACTCCAGCAGATGTTTATGTGGTTCCATGCAATGCTCTGGGTGGTTCAGTCAGAACACAGTTGTCCCCCAATGTGTGGATTTTGCATTATAACTAAGGAAAGTCCAAACAGTTCCACTTGGACAGTACTCCCTAGTTCATTCATGTGTTACAGAATAGCTGTAGTAACAGACACTCAGAGTACAGAAATTATATTGGTTACATGGAACTAATTTTCTTTTAATTAATGGTAGAGTTTGCCCTTGAATTCTTTGGAACAATTATAACGACACTGAAAAACAAAAAACTTGCTCCAAAATTCAAGAAGCACCTGAATGCTGACCAGAAAACATGTTTATTTCTATACAGTATATGCATCCTTTCTTGATTAGATATAGATTTTCTGATAAAGACACATGCCACAAGAAAAATTCACACATATGAAACAAAAATTCTCTTCCATACCAGTAGGTGCGTCCTAAGAAGTCATGTCTCCACTCGCCAGGTACTGGTTTTTCATGGCCAGTTTGTAAAAGCCTCAAAGCAATTTCTCTTTCTCTGACAACTAAGTCTATATTTTTCATAGATTTTTCTACCTGGAAATAGGAAATAGTTTCAGGATGGGCCAACAAAACACAATGCTGCCAATCTAAAAGACCTCAAATGAAGATCTAAGACAAAATTTAAAGGCAAAGCGAAGGTGAAACATACTGGGAGTTCCATCATGAGTAATCTCACAGTTGTGGACTAAGTGAAACAGTTGGATTGGCCCTATGTACTAGAACAGTAAAGAATGAGTGCCTAACTCTTTTTTTTTTTTTAAAAAACCTAACTTGCAATCAGAACAGGTACAACATCACTGATGTCTGATATTTCATTAAAGACTGGCCAGCTAATACATAAAGCCAGATCTAATGCTGATGCTACAAGTACAGAAAGCTCGGAGGCAGGGGCAGGAAGGAAGCAGGAGAAGCAAATGGAAGATACGCTGCATGTATTTCTGTCAGGTGGTTTGTAATGGCTGTTTGTTATTCTAGTTTTCACTTTGGAGTCTGGTCGCAGCCTCAATGACGCCTGTTGGCTGATCAGAAAGCTGCCTTGACCAAACTATGACGCTTGAGGTGAAGGTTTTTAGCCAGGTCTGTCTCATAACATTCATCTAAAACACACAACATATGGCAACATGTTAAACGCACTGGGAAGCTGCTAGAGCTAATTGTAATACGCAGATTGCTGTATTTTTGTCTCAGCGCGATGACAGTGTTCAACTGCTGCTTGACTTCCTGGGCTTCAGCCAAAACCAAGTAGGCAATTAGTAAGATTTGACTTTTGAAGTGTTGGGGCCACTTACTTAACAAGTTCCCTCCCAGCAAGTTCTGCTGTGATTCA